CCCCCTTGACCTGTCCGTCCTCCCTGGACTGACCTATCCTCTTCCTAACTCCTCACCTTTACTGGCTCCATCCCCGCCTCTTCGACCTGTTTGTTTCCTCTCCACCTATCCTCTCCTCTATCCATCTTCTATCCGCCTCCCACTCTCTCCCTATTTATTTCAGAACCCCGTTCCCCTCCCCCTTTTCTGATTGAAGGGTCTAGGCCCGAAACGTCAGCCTCTCTGCTCCTATGATGCTGCTTGGCCTGCTGTGTTCATCCAGCGCTGCACCTTGTTGTCTCGGATTCTCCAGCATCTGCAGTTCCTACTATCTCTGGTATATAATTTCCCACTTTTTGCCTATCTCTCCTTTTTTGAATAAGGGTGTCGCATTAGCATGTTTCCAACCCATTAGTACCTTTCCAGAATTCGGGGAATTTTGGAAAATCACAACGAATGCATCCACTGTCTTTGCCACCTCCCTTTAATACCTTAGAGTGCAAGCCATCAGGCCCTGGGGATTTATCAGCCTTTCATCCTATCAGTTTACTTAGTACCTTCTCCCTAGTTGTTGTGGTAATTTAACAAGTTCCTCCTGTAGTAGCTGCAGTTTTAGGCAAAAAATTATTATTGTCTGCTGTGAAAAGAGACAAAATATTGGTTTAGTGCCTCTGCCATTTCTGAGTTTCCCATTATTACCTCGCCAGGGTTGATGGAAGGGGCATTTGATGAGTGGTATTTGGCATTCAATTCTTCATTCTGCCCAATCAATGTCAAACACCCATGAATTACAAAATGAAAAATTGCTTGGTAATTTAAACTATTGCAGAACACCTCTGTTTCATCAGAACTACTTCTCAGTCTCGACGAGAGCTACAACCACTAAATTGAATGCTGTGCAGTCTCGAGTGGCTGAATGGCCTACTCCTGTTGCAATTTCTTATGGTCTTATCATCCAGGGTGATGTGGAATATATTGATGGCAAGCCCACAATCCCCAATTCAACACGTACGTTTCTAACTTATAGCTCTTAGCAGCCTAAATTTTTGCACTTTACTCACCGAAGAATTATGAATTAAACATAAGCACTCGGAGCAGAAGTCGACAATTCAGCCCTCGAGCCTGCTCTACCACTTAAAAATATGATCCTGGCTGGTCCCATTTCAGCCTCAACTTCACTTTTTTTGCCCACTCCCCATAACCCTTCAATCCATTACAAATTAAAAATCTGTGTCTCTCTCTCTCTCTCTCTCTCCTCCTCAAATTTATTCAGTATCACAGCATCCACCAAATTCTGGGGATAGTGAATTCTACAGATTCACATTCTTTTGTAAACTTGTTTGTTTCTTTTTTTTTTCTAGCATCAACAGTTAATAATTAATTTTTTTGCACTACGGATCTATTTTTAAATACATGGGAGTTTGCTTGTTGTTTTTATTACCCAGACATTGAGCATTGAGCATTGCCTGACCAGATCTTGGTCAGATATTGGTGCTACGCAGAATTCTTGTTGGAATCTCAGCTTGTACCTGCTGCACACAACAGCAGTGCTGTCACATAACTGGAGCCTGGGTATAGCATTGCTGACACACTGTGCAACTGCACGTATATCCTAGATGGTAAATAATGTCATCAGTGTGAACGAGAAACCACGTCTTTTTCTTAAAAAAAGTCATAAAATTTCCAATGATTTGTTTTAAATGAAGAATCACTGTGTGCCAGTAACATTACTTGATGCTTTTAATGCTGTGTAGGTATAGTAGGGGTGTCTGAGATGAAGCACACTAAAGGAAGAATGTG